GATGGATGGATGGATGGATGGATGGATGGATGGATGGATGGATGGATTATTGAACATCAGTACATGTAATATATACAGTACAGTGAATAAGTCATGAATTTTTTTTCAGACTTTTCAGTCAAAAAAATCTGACAGTTTTCCAATAATTTTTTTAGTATTTTTATTCATTTATGTTTCGAAAAAAAAGAAAAATGTTACAAAGATTCGCACAACTTCGTGACGCACTTCTTAAGTCTTATTTTGAAAATTCAAACCGGATGTTCACGTTGACTCGCACTCTCACGGGAAACTTCTCGCTCTTCTCGCTGATTCACAGACGGTACCGGACGGACGGTCGGAACCAGCAGCCATGAGTTGTTCAATCAAATTCTGGACCTTGGTGGTGAACGTGCTGTGCTTGCCTCTCCATGTGGTGCGCGCGCTCGGCTTATACAAACTGTACAAACGCGTCACTCCGTTTTTCTTCCAGCGCATGACGGTTAAGTACAACGCGAAAATGCACGAGCGTAAGATGGAGCTGTTCCGCGGTCTGTCTGGTTTCAAGAAGCCCGGCGGCGGCCCGCTAACCATTCTAGAGATCGGCTGCGGCACCGGCGCCAATTTCAAGTATTACCCGCCAGGCGCTAAGGTGATCTGCACCGACCCGAACCCGCACTTTCAGAACTACCTGACAGAAAACATGAAGAAGAGCGAGCACCTGAAGTACGAGAGGTTCGTGGTGGCCGCGGGGGAGGACATGTCCTCCGTGGGGGATGAGTCTGTGGATGTGGTGGTCTGCACCCTGGTGCTCTGCAGCGTCACGGACGTCCCGCAAACCCTGAGAGAGGCGCACCGCATCCTCAGACCAGTAAGTGGTCACTCACCCTTCACTCTCCACAGAGCTGCATGTTCAGAAGGTCAACTTCAAGTTAGTAGTAGTTCTAGTTTTTGGACACCCAGATAATAAACCATTGCAATAGTCCTGTCTAGACGTGACAAATGCAGGAACCAGTAGAAGTAACGAAATGGTAATAATCATTAATTACAACAGTGTCTCCCCCCCAATCTCCCCTGGGATTTCTGGTTAGGTTCCCTTTGCTTGAAGGTTTTACTTGATTGAAAATGAAAATGATTTAATTGAAGTGGAGAGGTTGGACAGCCACAGGTTCCTTGGCCTTCATCTAACATCAAATCTGAGCTGGTCGGTCAACACAGCTGCTACGATGAAGAAAGAAATGCCTGTATTTCATTAGACTGGTCAGGAAGGCTGGGGTCAGCCGCTGCCCCCTTACACAGGCTTACAGAGGACAGGTGCACAGCATCCTCACAACAGGTATCATAACATGACACAGGTATCATAATATGGCACAGGTATCATAATATGGCACAGGTATCATAATATGGTACAGGTAT